AAAGGGCTCAATTCAACAACAGGATATAACCATTATAATCATATATGCACCCAATACAGGAGCACCAATATATGTCAAACAAATACTAACAGAATTAAAGGAGGAAATAGAATGCAACGCATTCACTTTGGGAGACTTTAACACATCACTCACCCCAAAGGACAGATCCACCAGACAGAAAATAAGTAAGGACACAGAGGCACTGAACAAGCTAGAACAGATGGAAATAATAGACATCTATAGAACTCTACATCCAGAAGCAACAGGATACACATTCTTCTCAAGTGCACATGGAACATTCTCCAGAATAGACGACATACTAAGCCACAAAAAGAGACTCAGTAAATTCCAAAAGATTGAAATCCTACCATACAACTTTTCAGGCCACAAAGGTATAAAACTAGAAATAAATTGTACAAAGAAAGCAATAAGGCTGATAAACTTATGGAGGCTTAACAACGTGCTCCTAAATAATCAATGGATCAATGACCAAATTAAAATGGAGATCCAGCAATATATGGAAACAAATGACAACAATAACACAAAGCCCCAACTTCTGTGGGATGCAGCAAAAGCACGCTTAAGAGGAAAGTATATAGCAATCCAGGCATATTTAAAGAAGGAAGAACAATCCCAAATGAATAGTGTAATGTCACAATTATCGAAATTAGAAAAAGAAGAACAAATGAGGCCTAAGGTCAGCAGACGGAGGGACACAATAAAGATCAGAGAAGAAAAAAATAAAATTGAGAAGAATAAAACAATAGAAAAAATCAATGCAACCAAGAGCTGATTCTTCAAAAAAATAAACAAAATAGATAAGCCTCTAGCCAGACTTAATAAGAGAAAAAGAGAGTCAACACACATCAACAGAATTAGAAATGAGGAAGGAAAAATCACGACGGACCCCACAGAAATACAAAGAATTATTAGAGAATACTATGAAAATCTATATGCTAAGAAGCTGGAAAACCTAGGAGAAATGTACAACTTCTTCGAAAAATACAACCTTCCAAGACTGACCCAGAAAGAAACAGAAGATCTAAACAGACCAATTACCAGCAATGAAATTGAATAGGTAATCAAAAAACTACCCAAGAACAAAACCCCCGGGCCAGATGGATTTACCTGGGAATTTTATCAGACATACAGAGAAGACATAATATCCATTCTCCTTAAAGTCTTCCAAAAAATAGAAGAGGAGGAAATACACCCAAACTCATTCTATGAAGCCAACATCACCCTAATACCAAAACCAGGCAAAGACCCCACCCAAAAAGGAAACTGCAGACCAATATCCCTGATGAATGTAGATGAAAAAGTACTCAACAAAATATTAGCAAACTGAATTCAAAAATACATCAAGAGGATCATACACCATGACCAAGTGGGATTCATCCCAGGGATGCAAGGATTTTACAACATTCGAAAATCCATCAACATCATCCACCACATCAACAGAAAGAAGGACAAAAACCACATGATCATCTCCATAGATGCTGAAAAAGCATTCGACAAAATTCAACATCCATTCATGACAAAAACTCTCAACAAAATGGGCATAGAGGGCAAGTACCTCAACATAATAAAGGCCATATATGATAAACCCACAGCTAACATCATACTGAACAGCGAGAGGCTAAAAGCTTTTCCTCTGCGATCGGGAACAAGACAGGGATGCCCACTCTCCCCACTGTTATTAAACAGTACTGGAGGTCCTAGCCATGGCAATTAGACAAAACAAATAAATACAAGGAATCCCGATTGGTAAAGATGAAGTCAAACTGTCACTATTTGCAGATGCCATGATATTGTACATAAAAAACCCTGACTCCACTGCAAAACTACTAGAACTGATATCGGAATTCAGCAAAGTTGCAGGATACAAAATTAACACAGAGAAATCTGTAGCTTTCCTATACACTAACAATGAACTAATAGAAAGAGACATCAGGAAAACAATTCCATTCACAATAGCATCAAAAAGAATAAAATACCTAGGAATAAACCTAA